GCAGGATGTTCCAAGGGGATCAAGCGATCCTCGACGAGGCCCTTCGTCTTCTTCCCTCAACCTCGGCCTTGAGCAAGAGAATGGAAGCTCGATAAATACATGCCGAGCTATCCATGCACTATGGAACCAAGATATGAAAGAAGCTGCTGTACGAATGTATCGTGTTGAGTCGAGCCTACGCGCGTCTCAGGAAGAAGTGACAAGGCGCAACACCCAACAGGAAGAGGACATGCTTAACCTTCGGGCCAAAGTGTATGTGCTGGAGGAAAAAGTTCACATGTTACGGAACGAATGCCAGACTCAGCGGCATGAGCATCGTAGTCTCAGCCAGGACCTAGGTGCGGAGTTGCATTGCACTCGGGAGCTTATCCATCAAATGACAGGAGACATCCAGTCGCTGAAAGAAAATCAGGTGCGCATTTATGTGTCTTCTTTCTCATATTACATTGACTAATTACACATAAAGAGTCCAGCAGGAATCGAAGTTCCGAATGGCTCAGAGGGGTCCGACTCTGCCTCCAGCCCAGTGACCCCGGAAGCGATGGACGCTTGGAGGACCAAGGCGTCGGATGGTTTCTCCGAGAAGTGACCGCCTTGAGGTTCGCCCATGGTAGATCCCTTCTTCGTGAAGTCTTCTGGCCCCAGGACAACCGGCAGAGGATATATACTAGCCTAGGGCAAGTCAGATGCAAATCATACGCGTGTTGTTTCATATATCATACCATCTCCCGTTGTGAAGGCGGAGTAAAGTCACTGGAGTATTGCCAGATTTTGTTGCTCCTCTTGCTGCGCACGCACAAATAAACGTCTACTTCGCAATCAATGTGTAGATCGTGTGCCTTTTTCAGGAAATTCCGTCTCCGCTTGGAGAAACGGCTGGATCTGTTCTTTTGTACGCGCTGCATGTCGCCGATGTTCACAGGTCGGCAATCCTTTGAGTTATTGCACGCTATGTGGTCGCTGTATATCTGCGCAAGTTCGTTACCAACAAATGGTGAGAATCTTGCGAAACATCTAAAGAAGGTGAGCAGAATATCACTTTATTTGATGTAGAAAACCTACTGGTTGCAAGTCATGTTGGTTCTCTCGGTGCCCTATTGCATGCCCAGGCTTCATCCTAACCGTCATAGCCTCTTTATCTGCTGCCGGTTTTAACTTTAGTACTCTATTATTGCCAGTGCATGTTCTATAGAGGCTTTGGCGCTGCTTAAAAATAGGTCTGCCAGCATCGCATCTTGCCGCGCGGTTAGCCTGCGAGGGAGTTCATGGTAACCCGACTCACACACATCTATCACGCTATAGCTCGCGAATTTGGTCCAAGTTTAATGATAGGATTTCTGGTATTATTCTTATTTGAAGTTGTAACTAATGCGATTACCGTGGAAGAGAATCCACATACTGCAGCGCCAAAATCACCAATCCACAGATCACGCCCTGATCGGACACGGCTCGGGCGTGATCGGACACGGCGGTGGAGCCCATCTTCGTGACTGCTCTCGTCGCATTTGTTGTGAGACGACCGCTACGGTAGTAGGTGCTATCGCTAGCATGGTACCAAAGAGGTCCAGCCTGCAAGCCAATGGATCTTCTCAGAATAGAGCGAGATTGCCGAATACCGAGCTGCATTTGCTTTTACAAACTCCGTGGCAGATCCCCGGTGGAGATCAGCCTTAACAAAGATATGATGGTCTTCTCTTGAGGACCAGGCCACCAATTTGGTGGTTGTGGGGGGGTCTGTTCGCCTTTGTCTGACGAGGCAGAACACTCAGGTCGGGCGTAATGGGGGGAATAAAATCCACATTGAGAGTGGTGAATGGTTGACACCCGCCTTGTCACATTGTGCAGCGTCAATTTTTGAGCCTAGTGCAGGGTTTACTGCTTGTCATTGGAGCCCACAGCGTGCGGACCGTACCGTCGGTAACCAACTAAAAAGTGACAATCACCCGGCTCATCTGCATGTTGGCAAAATGCTTCTTCATTGAGAATCGGTTGTATCACATGTCTCTTCAAAAGCCAGTTTTTACTGTCCAACTGCTAGATACACCCAGCTCTCTAGCCATGGCGGCGGGACTTTTGTAGACTCGGCAGTTTTCCTTCCCTGCGTCTCCTCTCCAAAGTAGAAATACTGGCTTACAAAAGCCCCGCGCGCCCTCCCACCACCCCTGCTTTGCACCGTTTCTGGACACAGCCACCTGAGCTAATAGCGCCTCTGGTTCGGTCCTCGCGGCTCTCCTTCCGCCTTCCGTTTCTGACATCTTTTCCCGTCAAGGCAGTCCATGTCACATAGAAGTATCGGCGATTGCCTGTTTGGGCTGACTGGCGGGGGCAGTATCAGCGGGGGATGCGATTGGCAATTCTTGCCGCGACGGCACTTGCGTGAGCGGGCTGGCTACCGGGAAAGGGCAGTGCTCAAGTCGCGGATTAGGGTCAAGATACAGTATAATTCCGTGGCATTCTTCCCTGTCGAGGTACAAGTCCGTCTGAACCGACAAGAACGGGTCTGGGCATGTTGACAGCGGCGCGTGGGGGAAGAAAGTCAAAGAGACCCTAGGAATGACGCGGCTGTCAACAATCTGTGGCCCCACTTCGTCCGTTCGACCTTGTGATGGTGTTGGGAACCACAGACTGACTCCGCCATCTTCATCAGTCACTGATTCCAGTGTTGCAATGACGTGATGCTGTTGATCTTTGCACTCTAGGACCACGTAGACTCCGGGTTGTCCGCGGTTGGTGGTGTCGATGACTTTGCAAGTGATTGGTGCCATTCTGTCTTGTCGTGTCTGCTCGCTGTCATTGTTCATGATTCCATGCAACGCGTATTTATTGTGGCTCATGTGCTACGGTAACTGTTACACCTGCAGGGCTGTCTTATTTTTAGTTTCGCGACTTGTTCTCATCCAAGTGCTGTGACGAAAGTTAGAACCTGGCCGGTGCTGTCCCTGCCACCCTTCGGTCGTCGGCGACTTCCCTCCTTCAAAGTCTGGAGCGTCTCCGCTTCTCCACTTCATTGCGGCTTGCCGCCGTATTGTTATGCCTCTTTCCCACCATTGTTGCCTATTTTGCCGGACTGTACCATAGGCAGTACTCAGTTTGGGGGTGAGGTGTGCAGGTAATGCCTCAATTGGGCGTGCAAACTAGAAAAATTCTCTGCGTCACATTCGGCACCTGGCGCTTGTGCGTGTCGGGGATCAATAGGAGAAACGACGTCGTATTATTTTTAAGCAGAAGTAACCATTCTGAGACTATCTACAACTGGGGAGGGAACAGCCTCCCTGCGGCTTCCATCTCACACTGCGCAATCTCCTCGCTCATGGTTGCCTGTTTAGTAACCTCCGCCACTGTCTCTCGATAGCCTTGGAACGCGGAGCAAATTGCCTTGATGACCTCCGCTAGCCCACTATCCTGCTTTTCAATGTATTGCTTGTAGGCGGTAATTTGTTTTCGCAGCATAATATTCTCCTCGTCACTCGCACGTAGAGACTGACAAAGCGTCTTGTTTTGTTCCTGAAGCTGACCCAGTTGTCGTCTTATTTCATCAGCAGTGGCTTGGTACTTGGGAGACTGTCTTGGTAAGACTAGAGGCCGAGCGACAGGGGGGCGATCTTTGCCTTTACCGCTTAGGTCGGCTTGCTCAGGCAGGGGCGGGAGTTCTTTCGCCTTGTAATTAGCCATGGGGGTCAGGAATATTTCGTTTGCACTCGGAAGTTGTAGCACGCATTGAGACAAAGTGGACTGAAGTCAAGGTTTTATGTCCTAAGCGAAATTTGTCAAAAGCTAGTTGAGGTAACTACGTGGATTATCTTTAAACGTTCATGCAGCCTTCTGTCACACTGTTCCACTCCGCCGTCCACTACCGCCCGGGGAGGCCTGATCGACAATGCATGGCATTATGTGGATGCGCATTGACCGTGCCTCTCAAGATCTTCCTCCAGATTTACGCGAAGAATGTGCGGCATCAGTCCCCTTGTAAAGTCTCTGAGGTTCTGCTTAAGGTCCTCTACGACCTTAAGCATGCCTTCAATCACTGCAAGGCGACTAAGCATGTCGCAAACGTTCTTGGCCAACTGATCCACTGTTTGGTTTCCAGTAGCTGCAGCCTGCTCTAATGTGGCAATGCGGTCGTTCATTCCCATCAACATCCTGAGTAGTAGGTCAGAATGCAAGTCCAGCGTTCTCAATCTCAAGGTATGACTTACCATCTCAAATCGTCGTTGGTTGTAAGTCCAGGGTGGAACGAGGATTGGTCGTAGGATGGCAAGGCACCGCCGTTGATAGGCCCATCAACAAGCAAGCTACCATCAAACCCAATCCAAGGTGCCCCCGGATTGAGTGTAGGTTGCCCACAAAGGGCGGGCTCACAGAGTGTGGTCGCCGGCGAGTTTGTCGGGAGAGTAGACGACTCATGATCCAACTGTGGCACTACAAGTTCGGATGAACTACTAGTACACTGCTCTTTTTTGGCATTTGGTGGCCCTTGTGTGCTCGCGGACAAGTTGAAGGTGAAGTACGACATTATGTTCGATAAGAAGAGGTTGGACAAGCAAGAATTGGTTGAAGTCTGTGATTCCGCCGAGCATGGACGCAATTAAATATAAGTATCTCGCTCAAATGTTACTGATAAGCGCCCATTAAATTTAACACCAGAAATCGCACCAGGGCGCAATTGAGTATAAACGCGCTTAAAGTAGGTAACCACGAATCATGGGTACAAAATGGTCTCGATCTACAATATCCTGCTAGCCAACGGCATCACTAGGAAAGTGACCAAGACTTTAAGAAACAAAATGCATCTCAACAAGCTCTTCTCAATTCTGACATGCCTGCTGTGGCCAGCTGCTGCTATCCACAGCTTGTGCCTCACCTCCCCGGTCGTCTCCCTTGAGGCTGGACAATCGGTCTTGTCGGCTCAGTCAGTTGCATCCCGAGGACCATGACGCGGACACTTGCTAACCCGCCTACACAGCATTAACGCTCCTCAGTCCACAAGATGTTAAGCCACCATGAGTTTTGGCGATTCCTCTTTCCTCCCTCTGCGCTTCAACTTCTCCACCACGCCATGTGAAGGCCAACTGATCGCAAAATTTACCACCCCTGCGGAGGTCCCCAATGGGGAAGCAGATATCTTTTGGTGAGCACAATAACCATTCCATTGCAAACAGGTCAACTAACTGTGGTAGGCAATGCGCCGGACTGGCTCCATACTGCTATCAGGCGAATATAACGAATGGCACATCTGATCCTACCATGCAGCTTGATAGGGAGGCACAAGTTGGATGCATTAACGAGGTACTCAGAACAACCAGTGTCCTTGTTGTTAAAACCATGTCCACTCGTACAATAACCGAAACTGCAGTGTCAGTCTTTACCTGGACAACGACTAGTTTCCCTAGATCACAGGAGACATCACCCATAGTCACACTCCCGTCCCAGTCATGGGTCACTTCTGGGGTGGCAACACCATCATCTACAGTGATGAACAAGGATCCAACGGGGACGGACACAACAGCCGCCCGGGCTCCGACTGCTGACTCCGTTCGAGTGGAGATCCCCCGGTCCGATATGATCGGAAGGACCGTTAGAACTACGTCCCCCTTGCCTGTGACAACAGACACAGTCTTTGACAGTGGCGCTTCCAAGGTCACCACCCCTCTTGTCAGCTCTGCGGTGACTACATTTTTGACGACGACACTATTGCGGACCTTAACGGTTAGTTGCGCAGCAGGAAGCGCAACAGGGAAGGCATAAATGGATCTTAGCTTGTGCATATTAGACTCTGGTCGGACGTGTTGTTGAGCTAGTTTAGGTACTGAAATACATACTTCATCGGTTTCCTCTCCGCCTGGTTTGCTTTTACGCATACTTGCAAATTTCTTCTGAAAGCATTTGATAATGCCTGACAGCCGTCTCCTTCCACTGCGACCTGCCCAAACAAAGCAGGATGTGATTACAGGCTCAAGTGATCCTCGGCAAAGCCCGTCGTCTTCTCTCAAGCTGGTCCTAGAGCAAGCAAACGAAGGATCGTCCAATACGTGCCGGGCCATTCATGCTCTATGGAACCAGGATGTGAAAGAAGTTACCTCGAGAATGTATCTGGTTGAGGCAAGCCTAAGTGCGTCTCAGGATGAAATGGCAAGGTGCGATGAGCAGCACGAAGAGGACATGCACAAACTTCGGACCAAGGTGTATGTTCTGGAGGAGAAGGTTCATGTCCTACAAGAAGACATGCTGAATTCCCGACAAGAGCACTATGATTTCAGCCAGGAATTACGTGCCGAGTTACATCGGACTCGAGAGCTTTTGCATCAAATAACAGGAGATATCCAAGTACTGAAAGACAATGAGGTTCGCATTTATGTATCTTCTTTCTCATGGCACAGTAGCTAATTACACGTAAAGAGTCCAGGCTTAGTCGAAGTTGCGAATAGCTCAGAGGGATCCGACTCTGCCTCCAGCCCAGCAACACCGGAAGCGATAGATGCCTGGGGCACCAAATAGCCAGATGGCTTCTCCATGCAATATTTCTTCTTGGTGAAGTCATCTGGACCGAGTACAACCGGCAGAGGGTACATATTAGCCTAGAGCAGATTAGAAATATGTCACACAAATATTGCCTCGTACGCCATACCATCTCATCTTGTGAAGGTGGAGTGAAGTCGCTGGAGTATTGCCAGATTTTGTTATCCTTTCTGCTGCGTACGCACAGGTAAACATCTACTTCGCAGTCCTTCTGTTGATCGTGTGCCTTCTTCAAAAAATTCCGTCTCAGCTTAGAGAAACAGCTGGATCGGTTCTTTTGTACCCGTTGCAGGTCACTGATTCTGACCGGTCGTCAATCCTTTGATGGATTGCACATTATATGATCGCTATATATCCGTGCAAGTTCATTCCCCATAAACGGTGAGAATCTTGCGACACATCTAAAAGACGTGAGCTGGATAATCACTTTACCTGGTGTGGAAAACCTACTGATTGCAAGTAATGTTGCTTCACTCGTGCCCTGTTGCAGGCTGAGACCTGATCCCTAACTACTCGTAACCTCTATATCAGTTGGCAATTTTAACTTTAGTACACCTTATACTGCCAGGGTATATGCCATAGAGGTTCGGGGCTTCCTAAAAATAGGTCACCTAGCATTGCAGTTTGCCGCGCGCTTGGCATGTGAGGAAGTTTTGGTGTTCCGACCACCACACATCTGGCACGCTATAGCTCGCGGATTATGGTCTAAGTTTAGTGAGAGAACTTCTGGTATTATTCCTGTCTGAAGTTGTAAACTAATACGATTACCATGGAAAAGAATCCGCATATTGCAGCGCCAAAAATCACCCAGCCATAGATCACGCCTTGGCCTATCACGGCGGTGAACCCCATGCTCGTGATTGCTCTCGTCGCATTTGTTAGTGAGACGACCGCCACGGTAACAGGTACTATCACTAGTATGGTACACAACAAGATGCCAACTCTAACCCAAATTGTAGGTTTTCTTGCAAGGAGCAGTGCACAACATATTACCGCTGCTGACACCGCGAGCAACATCTCAATTTCGGACAAGCACTCCAAGTGAATTGTAGATATCTGTTGGATAATGCGATTCGTCGAGTCCGTTGGTATTGCTAGAACTGCTTCGTCGTAGCGAACACACCGGATTGCATTGGTCAAGCTAACACAGGAGCCCCGAATTCCAATGGTCAAGTTTGCTGAGACATGAGCATCTTGTTTGGGTATCTACGGAGCATATCAGTCTTAGCTGACATTGTTCGTAACACGATACACACCTGAAAAACTATGAGGCCGCGGTCGGAAAATGCAGAACTGTGTCGAATAATGGCGGTAATTACTGTATTTGTGATAAAGGCTGCCAATGAGGCGCACACAAATGCATTCCTCTTCATGGTGGGAGAAGAGTTGGCTTAACGCGTTAGCTGGTGTGTCTCGTGGGGCTTGCGTTTTATAATCTGGTGAATTAAGCCTGCGCCAATCGAGTAACTAGCTAACTACATTTAAATTAATTCAGCCCGAAAGGCGTTTATACAATAAAGACGACCCTTGAGCCCTAAGTCGATTCTAGCTAGGGAGATGATAGATCAATGTACCCGCTCTACCCTCAATTAGTCCCCGATAGCAAAAAACTCAGCCTCCTGTTCTAGGTGAGGAGGAGAGAAGGCCTCATCATCGTTAATTTCAGGAATTTGCGGGTCATTTTCGGGATGGACATGCTGAGAAGGCTTCGACAGTGGTTCGCGACCTCGCTGAACTACTGATGTTGAATTCTGGGCATTCATAGAGGGCGGTAGCGCAGGTGTTGCAACAGGTGCTTCCAAGGGTCCCTTCCTCTTCCAGCGCACATCCTGTGACACGCTTGCTAGATCCTCCACTACTGCTCGTCCTAGCTCTTCGGCCGGCTGTATTTGGGTGACCTGCTCTCCCCCAGCCTGCTCTCCCACGGCTTGAATACCCCCGTCCTGGTCCCGCTTCCTATGCCTCTTTTCTGGCACTTCTGCGGCTTCAGATACTTCATTATGCTTGCGTTTCTTTTCTTTGGCCCGATTTGGATTCTTAGTCGGGGGAGTCAAGTGCGCCAGCGCTTGAGTCGGGATACCAGCTGGATCTACGGGTGGGACAACGTAGAGATCAGACGCCCGAGTCGCTGGGATGTCTGGGACATTCTGCTGCCTGAATGTGAATTTGGGCCCTCTGGCCCGAACGCGCGGCTTGTCGCGACTTGTTGCAGACCGAGCAATACCTCGAGGCATTTTGTCCTTTCGTTTCTTTTTGGCGCGCGTTTCATTATTTCCCCTTGACCATAACTTTAATACTTCACCTAGCCTTGCGTCTTCATCTATCTCTGGCTCACTCCTCCATGCCTCATTTGGCTCTGTTGTATCCACGTCCATTTCAGCACGAAGAGATGCAGCTGATGCCAGCGATGGAACCTTCGGTTTACCTCCAAAAAAAGCTTGCAAAATATGGCTTTGCACACGTAGCTCTGGTGGCACCTTGTCATCTAAGGATTCCGCGAATAGTTGTGGGAAAAAAGACGATTGCAGTAAGATGTGGTACCCCGCGAGGCAAGGTTTTCCACTGCGCCAGTCCCTCCTCCTCTTCGGCTGGGTGTACGATATGTGCCGGTTCTCAATCGGATGAAGACGCCCTTTCTCAATGTTCGCGTTGGAGAAACCTAAATCTTTAAGAGTGACACAGAGACGGCTTAGAACGCTATTATCAAAATTGCCCGCCATCCACACTCTCTTGTCAAAGTCCCTTAGAGGCGCCTCGGGTGACAAGTAAGGGAAGTAGCGCAATGCGGCTAGAAATGCTTGAATGACTGCAGCGTCGGCAGTTGGCTCATTCACCTGGATCATGCGGCCGTGGCCGACTTCCATCGAAGCCCCACGACTGTTCCAGTCCTTTTTTAAATTCTCAATAAGACTGGAACACATGGGCTCGATTGTATCAGCCCGGCTCTCTGACGGCCGGTTCTCAATGTGTTTCTCAAGGATTTTAGCTCCAATCGTCAAATATCTCATGTTTTCATGAAAGGTCTGGATGCTAGGTATTGAATCCGGGAGCTCAAGGATGTTGTCTTTAATTCTGTCTCGAGCACTCTTTGATAAAATGCCAGGAAACAGTGTTCCGTCCTCAAAAAGATCGCAGATCTGTGCTCGGTCTTGCGAATTCCACGACGGCGCCCGATATTGAAGAATTGTAACCGTATTTGCATCAAAGAGATGCAGCTTGTCTTCATGTCCAGCCATTATTTTCAAACCGACGTTCTTAATATGCACCCAATAGTTGATGATGAGCGGATTGATGCGGGCGGCCAGATGTTTTGCCCAGTTCCCAAGCTGAAGCCCATCCCAATAACCAGGAAAACAAAGCATGCTATCCATAGCTGCTATTATATCCGGATGTTTCCATAGACTTCCCAGTATCTTCCTCTTGGACCCCGACAGCTTGTCCATCCAGGCTTGGGCAACAGACACACGGTTCTTTTTCCAAGACCCGGCCATGTAATACCGCACGTTCTGGAAGACGGCACCATCGCAAATCTTGCGAGGTTGTACTAGCATATTGATAAGAACGTGACCAAACGGCTTCGATGGTAATCCTCAATTATGACATACCTGGAATGCAGTACAAGCGTACGTTGCAAATATGATCCCTTCCGAGGACAGTCTTCGCTCTGTCCAGATCCAAGTCCTTAGCAGCATAGAAAACTTGGTGGTCATTGATCAAAGGACTAGATTCCAATTCAAGCGTCGCATACAATTCCTCGGGTGAGTAGCTCAAGTCCCGTAAAATGTCATCTCTGGTCCTTGGAGTAATCCGAACTGAGATGGCATGTCCTGGATCACGAAGATGCTCAATGATGTTGATCGGGAATGACGATGAATCAACATCTAAATCCTCGCTCTTCAGACTCGACAAAGAGACTCGAGCTTTTCCTTCTAGATACTTAGACTCCATCTTCTGTGGTTACTGGCAACTTTTTGGCGGGCGTTGATGGTTTAGCCAAGCCAGAGTTATTATACAAATGGGTACTACTATTTGTCCTGCTGAATTAAATCTAGTACAGTCCAAGAAATATATAATACAAGTGTATTGTTTAAAGCGCACAACAGCCAGTCCTCCGGTTCGGGGCGCCAGTGCCTCATCGGACAAGGCAAATTTAAAAATAATACTTAACGCCCAGGCTCCAGTGGACACCATCTCCCGCACGCCAACACACACAATCTTGCTGTCGCAATCCCCTAATCATGCAGCCCAACGACCTCCTCCACATTCGGTCTAGTGCAGCTGGTCTTCCTGGGCCATATCTGCAAGAAAACATGGCGCCGTACGAAATTCTCGACAAAATAGGCGAAGCAAAACCACGGACCATTCTTCTTATACAGGGGCATACTGAGCGAGGCGATGGTTTCAAGGGCGCCATGAGATTCCCATATAGAAAGTTTGCCATAGCCCTTCAGCGTCAAGGGTCTAACTTAGTGGTGATGTGCAACATGCACCAGCAACCAGGCAACGCCATACCTCGCATCATAGCGGGGCCCGTTCCAGGCAACTACTGTTACCACCTGGTGCAACAGCCGCCCGCAACCATGACAGATTTGGCTTACAGAGTTTATTGCGATGTCTTTGCTTTGTTCAGCGACATAGTGTTAATCTCTGTAGCGGATTTCGGTGGACTTGAACGGGTCCTGTCGTTTGTATGCTCTTGGGTCCTGCGCCGACAGTTGCAAAAACCCAAGCTTCGGACTCACTTTGTTGTCGCAACTGACAAATACTGCTTAAAGGACATTCAATTTGAACTTCTAGCTACTATGATGGCAGACCAGTGGACACAATCAGTGGCGAGTGTAAAAAGAACAATAAGTGATTATACAGAGCTCAGCGTTATTAACGGATCTTCTGCCAGCCCTGGCCTGGTAGTAAAGCTATTTGGTCTCAGGAACCATCGACAAGCTGAAGGGCTTCACTTCACTGGGTCCGATACTAAAATACTTCTTCGCGCCGCTATTGCACATTATACTGCCAAACCCATGGAGACATTCAATTTGGTCGCCGCATCCCGCCCGTCATGGCCAGTCCCTGAAGAACTGGGCCACCACATCGGAGAATTTTTGGCGGCTTGCCCTCCAGAGCCTGTGGACCATTACCCTATCATTGCGTCCGCACTTGTAATGAACGCATTTCACCCAGGATTACACTGTGAGTAATCTGCCACTACAACCGAATATTTTCTAACGCAAATTAGCGTTTCCTCCGAACCTGACGTTTGAGTCTTTATATGTCAAGAATTTGGCCGCATTTGAACAGCAGGCAGGCTGCAAGGGCTTAACGGACCGGGTCCGCAGCGCGTTTGTCGACATCGCCAAATACACGATCGGACCCGCGGTTGAACCTAGGGTACAACATCTCGCCAGACTGCAAGGCTGGAGACCCATTTCGAGCGTGAAACTCCGAGCGACTTGCTCAATCTGTCTCATCAGGGCCGGCGTTTTCATGATGGATTGCAGCCACTTACTATGCGACTGTTGTGTTGCCACTTGTTGCTTGCCTGTACAACCTTGCCACTACCAGTCCTCACTGTGCTTTTTATGCCAGCAACCAAATCGTACTACGTTTGTGCTGAACCCGCCTACGGCTGGACTCCGCAAATTGGAGCTGGCCTGCCCAGCACCACGGCTGTACAACACGGCGGAGAGGCTGTTCTGTTCACTTTTTTACATCGAATTGAGCCACAAACCAAACTTCTACACCTCTCCAGACAACTGCGTGGTCAAAATTCTTTGCCGGACGCCTCCGAGTCCGGCTCTCACGAGAACTCTAGCCTGGCTTCATGTAAACCGAATCCACATCAAGTACAGAGGCCATCAGTCTATTTCATTAGAAGCAGTGCTTTGCACGGCCGAGGTCTTACAGAAATGCTGGGAAGGGCAGCCGTTTTGCAGAACGGTGGTTATTGCTGCACATTCGCTGGATACCATAATCCAAATGCAGTTAGGCCCCATTGAAGGAAGGTTTCATCATGTCAGTAACTCTCCGTATAAGCTGGGTCATCTTCTTCACCATCAAGAACAAGGCTGGCTCTTCAATAGCCAAGGACATCCGCAGAATTGGGAGCGGAGCTGTAATAGTGCACTACAACTAGAACTAGACCGACTTATAGAGGTAATAAGATTGACATTGTAAATAGCTTAATTGTACACAACTGAAAAAAGATGATTCTAATGATATAAGACAAAACATGCAAAGTGGCCAAAGGCTGTTGAGATCATTCGAACTTCTTGATGAGTGCTAGGATTTCCTCTCTCTTGATCCTAGACAAAGGAGTTGGTTGGCGAATGTCCTCCTTTGTCTTGTGACTAGACTGCTTGGCCGGTTTTGTGATGCGAATGGGACAAATGGTTTCTGGGGAGGCACAGCGCTGGGCATTTGGGATGCTGTGAACCTCAGCCCATGGATGCAAGGGCTCTTCCATGAACCCCTCCCCCTCCTCACAGTGAGGAGTACGTACAATATTCAGAAGCGCGACACCAGGCTCTGCTTCCTCCATGATGCCGGGTGATGTTTCGCTTCCTATCGAGTCGACACATGATGACGACGATCTCGACGAGCGATTTTCTGTCGAGTCGAGACATGACGAGGATCTCGACGAGCTCATAGCTCTTAGGACCGCGACCCCCTTGCTTGGTTTGGACATATAGGGATCCACCTCATGAGGCCCAAGCAGATCCTGCTCGTTGATCTGTAGGAAGTCCCGAGCTAGACCAGGACGCGATTGATAGCCTCCTATACCACCATCGGGTCTCCTTGCAATGACCACTACATCGACATCGTATTGTCGGAATAAGGCGTTGGCTTTGGAAAACATTCCCCAGCTGCAGTTCAAAGTGCCGATTTCTGGTCTCTTGTTGACCTTTGAGCGCTGTCTCCGAGGCATTTTGGACGCTATGTTGAGATGCACAATGAGACTCGTTATGTATCAAGTGAGGGTGGCGAAATCTAAGGTTGTACTTTGGTGGGCAGCGTCTTCCTTTATCAAGACTTCTGTCCGTCTCCTATCTCTCGATTGAATCCGGACGGCTCAGCATCCGGCGGCAAAGCACCCTTCAATGAGATTGATGGCTCCGACTCCGAAGCGCCGTGCCGGAGATGGTGGGCCAGACCGGCAGTCGGGACCCCGATGTTTAAGTGGTCATGAGAACCGCCTCCTAGACGGCGAGGCGCCTATTAAATATAGCCATTCTATTATTAGTATGGCAACTTGCAGGCATCAATCTCTATCGGCATTTGTAGCAGTTCCTCTGCACTACACTCGGCCCGTTCTATCCTTAACCACGTATTGATCTTCTTCTCCCATCGCCAATCCAACGTTGTGCGGTAACACTTCATTTCCCTTGCAATCATAACAGAAACCATGGACGACTGGAATATATGGTACATGGTAGCACTCTTCAGTTTCATTTGCTTAGCTGTACTCGTGTGGACTTTCAAGAAAACCGTCACAAACCCGAAACTCTTCCTCATTCGCCATTTCCGATACCCACTGGTATTTCCCAAAGGCTGGTTCAGCATCACGCGAGTACAAGCATTAACTGTGGTTCTCTTTATGCTATCAAATTGCGCGATAGTCTTGGCTCCTTCTTTCTTCGAAGATTGGAGAAAGCTTCAACAGCGTGCCGCTCTAGCCGCAGCAGTGAATTTGGCACCACTTTGTGTAGGAGGACGAGCACCTGTTGTTGACGCTCTTAATGTCCCTCGCCGTTGGTATACCCTCATTCACTCCACGTTGGGTGTCATTGCGACATTAGAGGGAATATGCCATGCAGCTATAGCCTTGGCACATCATCCAAAGCCGGGGCAGATGACGAATTTTGGATGGGCTGTAGGTGATCGCAAAATGAGAGCGAAGTGGCATACTGACAACAGCAGGTGTTTGGTTTGATCATCGGATCCTCTTGTATGGCGATACCAATTATAAAACGATCCTTGGGGAAATGGTTTCAATGGTCCCATAGGGCAACGTCAGTCGGAGCCATGGTTGCCCTGCTCTGGCATATCTTACAGACATCGTCCAATCGTGCTCGGATTCTAGTCTGTTCCTCTTGTGGACTATGGCTCCTTACAACCGCTGTACGAGTTCTGAAGGTGCTATACTATAAACATACGGCAGAAGTTACATACGTTTCCAACACTGCGGGCGCTGTCTTCGTCAACGTTAGACTGGACCATCGGATCTTATTAAAACCCGGTTGTTATTTCTACATTTTCTTCCCCATGACTTGGCCACCATTGGCGTGGATAAGATACAATTTTCTTCATAGCTTTACGGCCATTGCACAGTACAATTCACCGGCCGACAAAAGCGGACAAGTGTCTACTGTGAGCTTCCTCCTCTCCCGTCATGGAAATCACGAGACTGCCATCTCAATGCTCCATGAAGGAAGTCTTCTATTTCTAGATGGACCTTACGGCCAAGAGGTAGACTTGGCAAAGGATGATATATTAATTTTGGCTGCGAAGGGTATGGGTATTGCAGGTGTACTTCCGATGGTTACAGACCTCGCGCTACGCCGCGACCATGACAACCGCATCAGGGAAAGAATCCAAGATTTAACAGAAAGACTCAGAACTGAAGGTAATAATGAAGCGCTTTTAAAAGAAATTGCGTACGTAAAGGCAATGCGTCTGTTTCGTGACGCAACCAAAAAAGTCATCTTATTCTGGTCTCTAGAATGCAATTCTCAGATGGAATGGGTTGAGAAACAGCTCAAGTGGCTTCAAGAGATGGACCCCCAGAATGTAAGTTTTCATTCCCCAAAATAACATCTTATTGACCAGCATAGAAACTACTCGTGGTTTGGTGTCGTTATCCTGATTTGCGGACCGGTCATGATCCCTTCGAGCTCGGATCTCGCTTTTGGATGTGCTTAGACTCAAGTGCAACACCATCATTTGAGAAACTCATCCCAATCAAATTAAAGGAAGAAAGATTGCGCATGGCTGGAAGAATGACTGTTTTTGGTATGCAGGCCCTCAGTCGTGTTTTTTCATAAGGCTTACGTGTCCAGCTTGCGGCGATGCGTATTTTACGGCCTTGATGCGAGACGGGACTATCAAGATCCTCAAGGACAAGCCCGTCACGTTCCTTGAATCCGAGTATCAAAGTCGTTCTTTGGTACGAGTGAGCTCAGTGGAAGGACCCCGCCGTGGGAACCTACAGAAAAGGAAGAAGCTGCGAGGGCATCCCGAGCATTTAGAGCTTCAGAATATGGCCAATGATAGACAAACAACGTATTCGCCAGTATCAGAGGGGAGTTTCTACTCTGTAAAGTTGTAATTCAATTTTTTGGTCATCTTAGCTATTCTACGGTTCCTGAGCTAGTTTGATAATTGTACGCTGTCTTTAGTTACTCTCAAATTGTCCCATTTTACAGTGATCCTTGGTGTGCCGTCAGCCCAAATGGGGCAGGGGAAACAGCCCAAGGAAGTTCTGCTGGTCGAACCCCCCACGTTAAAGTTAGTGCTCGGAAGTACAGCCCATAAACCCCGGAACTGCAAGGCGATTAGTCTTAATCCAGCGGAACCCAAAATAGAATGTGTCGCGGTTATGCTGATGTATATATTCGTCGACACTTCCGCCTCTGCACACACGATCCGTAAAAACACAGCATTCATTATACTTCAACCATAACAATCATGTCTTCTCTCAACTCCCCAGAAGGCCAATATCTGGCCCTTGCTGGCTCGTTCCAAAAGAGTCAAAAAACGTTAGTAAATAATTTTAAAACATGGGGTCTAAAGCCCTCCTCCAAAACCCAGGCGCCCACAATCCTTGCTGCGACGGAAGCAGCCTATACCAACTCGGTAAAGCAAGTTGAAGACGCTCGCAACAGACAAATACTCATCCTTAATGAGGACTGGGTTGATGAGTGTTGTGAACAAAAGTCCTGGATAGCACCGGAGGACAAACATATTTGGGAGAAGGGCGGGACAAAAGAAAGTCTCGCGGAGACAGATTCCACGGCCAGCGGTGAACCCGCTGGCAAGCCAACGGAGGACGACTCAGCGAAGGCCCCTAATCCTCCTCCCAACCCACCTGAGAATCCGCCACCACAGCCGCCTAATCCACCTGAGAACCCTCAACCACAGCCGCCTAATCCACCTGAGAACCCTCAACCACAGCCGCCTAATCCACCTGAGAATTCTCCACCGCAGTCGCCTAATCCACCTGAGATTCCTCAACCACAGCCGCCTATTCCACCTGAGAATTCTCCACCACAGTCGCCTAATCCACCTGAGATTCCTCAACCGCAGCCGCCTATTCCACCTGAGAACCCTCCGAAACATGAATCTGATAATGAGAGCATGGAGGTTGCTCTTTTAAAAAAACAAATTGAAGATTTAAAGAACAACAAGACAAATGGTAAAGATGGTCCTTCAGATCGATATGATCAATCTGAAGACCAGAAGGAGTGCTTTGACATATTTTACGAATGGTCCAGGCGCTTTGATGACACAGATGATCCCAACACGAACAGATTTGAGGTGGATTGTCACCCAGCCGACATCAACAAACCGCTCAGCGATCGACGTAAAGAATATGAGATGGAGGTTATGCTAATAACTCAATTTCGATCTTACTTATTTGTGATTGACCCGGAGGGGAAAATTGAAGGTTACGACTGTCTGAGGCCTGGGTACCTGATTCCAAGATCAGATTGCCCAGCAGCGGCACGCAAATATGAAGACAACGGTGGGGAGATAGTGAGAGCAAAACAAAGAGAAAATCTCCAGGGCAAGCAAATGACCGACTTCATCTGGTGGAGTGTAGCTACGGATCCGGAGGGCCGTTTTTGCTACTGCTTGGGGGCTTTCAAGGGGGACAAACGGCCCTCGCTCTATTCCCGGTCAACCTTTAAGGCCAAATGGGGCAAGCTTGCTGATGATCAAATCAATGAAATACGGCGGAAGTTCAGTCAGGCGGAGCTGAACAAGCAGGCGAAGACACGGTCGCAAAAATTGCTGAAGTTGAACTAAGCTGGTAATATATGTCGCTCACTTAGGAAGTTGCAATTATTTTTCTTGGAGGTAAAATGCGTTCATAGCAGACAGACTGATGTTTTAACTAGTTACTTGACCTTCTGTTTTCGCATTCCTGCTTCCAGTGTAACTGTCGGTTTCCTAGAGCCCGCAACATAGCGTCCCATTGAATACCTGTTCTAGCTTGGCCGTCCCACCATTAGCACGCCATGGCGCAACAGGAGCGGTCGGAGTAGTAGGAGTTTCTGGTGGCAGCTTTTGAACGGTCAGCCACGTATCGATTGAACGTTTATTGCACGTACCTCTTTTTTAAGTGATATAATGTTAAGTCTCAAGTGGGTGATTAGTCTTGATGTTTTGACCTCAATATCGGACAGTTCGCTCATAAGGAAGTTGATGTCTTCCCGTTTTGCTTGGAGCGCTTTCTCTGTGTCTTCAAGCAGCATTATGCAGCTTTCGACAACCGATACTTTGTCATGAAGAGGGACAAGGCAGAAGGCGTCAGATTTGACATGAGAAGACATCGTAAACTTATAGACTGGTAAATCCTTGTACATTGGTCGATGTTTTGTAATGTGGAATTGCGTGATTTTATACTCTTTTGCGATCTATTAATAGCCGGAGAGGAAGCACCGCAGATTACGCCCCCGGCCGAGACCGTCAAGCGGGGTGGCTGCCGGGAGGGAACATAGAATGGGCGTACGGTGCTCGGCGTCGTAACGGGCGGGGCCTACCATACAGGCCGAGTCACCAACCAAGGCCCATTTCCGCATCACATCAGCTATTTTTAAAGCCTGGTTGTTTTTAGGGGGTGAAACAACTTAACAGGCAATCGTGGTCCAGGATCCATACCACAGTGCATACAAGGCCCAGCACGAGCTTCAGATACTATTTTCTGTTGGCTCAGTCGCCCCAAAAGCAGCCACATATGTGCGAATGTGATAATATACGAAGTGGCCCTTTTTTTTAGAAGGAAACAATCCCAAATTAAAGGAATATGGACATCAATTTGTGCCGGGTGCCGGAAAAGAATAAAAGCAGACTAATGATGAATATCTCTTCTGAGTCCGCATCGCATAAGTAGTAGCGTTTATTACGGCAGGGGAAAACGAACTGCAATTTATTCAAGCAAATGTAGTGGTTATTCAGAAACTAAACAAGATTTGTGTTTCTCGCACTATCGACTAAACTTTCTAAGCCAAGACCATATGAAGCTGCTCTTCTCAGCAGGAGCCGACGTCGGCTGGCAGACTTCATCTGACGCCGGGGAGAGTGGCCCGAGACTATTGTCATTAGAATCGCCATTGGTGCTACCAAGTAGATGAGCTGCCACATCTAGGTTTGTGTCCCCTTTGAGTACCAAATTTTGTTGTGCCCGCGCAGAAACAGCATGCGATGACGCGAGGAGTGCAGCTTCTGCCAAGCAATCCAGGGGCGTGTTCTTGTCACATTGGCTGCCATGGCATGTGTTGCCTTGACGACTGTCTGCGCTATCAGATGCAGCGACTGAGCTTGTTGGAGGGTGTAGGGAGAACGTTTGGTGGCTTTCTGCAACAGAAGATGATAGCGACACGGATGGTTGACTATGTGTCGGCATGCGTAGCCGTCGCTGAAAGGTTTGGTAATTGCATTCTTCAATAATGTGCGGTAGGAGTAAGGGAACCTCCTCATTCCGAAGAAGCTCTTGAGCCAGCCCAGGTTTTGACTCATACCCTCCAATGTAACCATCTGATGTCTTCATGACAAGCGCTATGTCAACATTATAGCGCCGGAAAAGGGTATTGGCCTTGACGCATAATCCATTTTGACGATTTTTTTTGCCCACCTGAAAATTTTTGTTCACCTTTGATCGAGTGCGTCGTTTTGGGTCCATCTGTGTCCCAACGTCCCAAACATGATCAATACCTGAGACATCGCGAGAGCGAAGGTTAGGAGCCATGTTATGCCGGAGGAATAGTTAGGATAGTATGGGCTTAGTTAAATGAGAATAGTGATATTGCTCCGGAAGTTTGTACATAGAGTTGCTCGGGGACCATGCTTCCCTTTTGTATTAAGCATTACCTCAAACTGGCCGCTTGAATGGTATTGATTACGCGGCCCCGAGAGTGAGTGTACCAATGACCGGCGACCGGTAAGCGCCGTCCCACGGGGAAGTTGACACCTCTAGGGTGGGCAACAGCCATAGCCCTGAGACTTGGTTCCTATTCACCCCATCGTCGTATTTAGACCGTCTCTCTCTATTTTTAGGACATTGAATAGCCACGACTCTAAGCGCCGCCCATGCATAGCCTTCAGTTTGCTCAAGGGTCTCCGGGCGTTGCAGATGATGGGTGGCCGAGAAAAGTGGGTGGCCGGCCGAGATGGATGCGGAGTGGGGTCGCCGGAATGCCGAAGCGCCGAACAGGACTGATTATGGAGGGCATGCTTGAAAAGGAGTCTAGGGTCTGGCCTGTTCGAATATCTTTCCTCATGAGGATATGGCGCCATCGCCGTTTACCTGGTCGTTCGATGGCTGCTTGGCGACTAGCGCGGTCTTTTGTGGCAGGAACAGGACATGACCATGAGTGCCGACACCTGCCTCGCGCTCTGCTGCTGTCTCCAGCTTAAGTGAACAGGAATATCATGGTCAAGCCGGCTACCAGATGCTGGTGGACGATTCTGGCTTTCGTAGCATGTACAGCACGGTCAAGAACACGTTATGCTAGATAAATAAGATGAAGCAAGCTGCCTAATTGATAACTTCTTGACTAGGTTGCCTAGTTCCCTCTACTGAGAGAGCCAAATCGCGCGTCTCTTCATCCCTCCGTACAACCACCCAGATCGGCCTCCAAACGGCTTTGTACTTCAAACGTTCGCTTATACTTCCCTTTGCTCTCGAAATAAGCAGCTGACCGCGCAAAACTTTGCGTCTTGGTGTTTTACCGGCTGAAGCGCGTTTCTTCTCGACATGGGACAGGCTACTACCTCTAGCAACAATGGGCATGTTCTCCTCCCCTTCCTATCGGTCCGCTTTCTCCTTCGTGAAGGACGTCTTTCTGCTGATGCGACACTCCCATCTACGTCGATTGCAGGCTGAGAATAGCAAGGGTTGGCAGCCTCAGGCGTTGAATCTTATACCACAGGAGGCAAACTATTCTCTTTGGGTTCCAGGCTAATGGCCCTCAAAATTTCTTGTGGAGTCATAAGAGGTTTCAGAGCCATCAGTATCTTCTGAGTCAGAGTAGCTTGGGTAAATATCATCGATAGAACGGCAGCGCTTCGCTGCTGGTGCAACCGGGGCTGCTGATACAACGATGCGGAGCCGTTTGACTAGACTTGAGATTGCTCAGCTGTTGTATTTCGATAATCCTCATACCGGCGATAAACCCTTGCCATGTCTAAATGTATTCGGCTGGCATTTCTCATATTGGAGGGGTGTTCTGAAGACACCAAATGGGAAGAAGGAAGGGTAGTAAGATGGGCGGGCAAGGTCGAGATCCCTCAGATATGAAAGGGGACTGTTGTGTCGGTGACAGTAAATGTTCGGGGACGGCATATCTTGGTAAGTCGGCTCAGACCTAGCTCGCGGTGGCGGAATTGCACGTCAGTGGGCTGGGTAGCTTAGCTCTGCATTCAAGCTGCTTATCAAAGATCTGCCACACTGGCCATTGCATCCTTTTGGCGGTGGTATGTGCTTCTTGTTGACGCGGAAGTAAGTCTCGTAGGATATGAACGCGGCGCAGGAGACGAGGATACCCGGCGGAAGACGCCAAAGCCCCCCATTCATTTGTACGTGCATCCAAGTTTATCAATCTTAAAACCACAGACGACTTCGCATGCGAAATACCGGGCCTGGATCAAGACTCAGGCAGAAAACCTGGCAAGAGCTTGAGGAACATCTAGCAGGTGTCGAGACAATAGGTAGGTCGATGCGGCTCTACGACGATGATCTCCCCACCGAACACGAGCTGGTAGGGAGCATGCGCGACCGCATGGAAAACTCCATGACTTGGAACTGTATATGTAGGCTGGTTGCCTCAAGTCAAGCTCCTTCTCGATGCTGGTCGTGACTTGACAGTCTGTGATAGCTAAGTCACCCTGCTCCGCGAGGTACGAGACGGGCAAGTGCGATATGAGCGGGCGGTCGTGTCGCGACGCGTTGGGGACGTCGCTCTATGTCACGCTGAAGGCTCCAGATGGAGAGCTGAGGACGATGAGTTGTTAGCTTAATATCGCCGCGGCGGAGAGGGCAGCGGCAAGCACCCTCTACGCGAACTCTGAGTTGCTAGACAGGCTGGCCCGTGAAGTGACGCGACCAAAGGCAGGTTCGACACGACACGAATTATGACGTTCGACGCCGCACAACTACTGGACCCTGTGCTGCAGAGATGGGACTTGGCGGGAGCGGCGGCATAATGGCGCGCGAGAACGATATTTATTGGGTGAGAAAGGCCCAGGCGAGACAGACGACAACCCGAGTTGTGAAAAGGGTGGCTTCACACGATTGGCGATCATGCATTCCTGGCCGAGGGAGGCAATTTCCTAAGGTCACATTTTTGTGGCGGCTGAACTCGACAGAAAAGTGATAAATCATCCCAATCCCATAAGGCCGACTGGCAGAATAATGACCGCGGACGGTTGCGTTCGCCGGGTCGGGTTGCCAGAACCCGTCCAATAAGGGAGAAATGCTGGGAGACCGGCAGCTCGAGGCTCAGGATGCGGGTCAATTTTGGCCAACAGTTGATCTGGCCCACGTAGCTTTGCGAGCCGAGCCTTGATACTCCGTTTGCTGGCAGACTGCATGATATTCCACATCTCCATCTGGTTGGCTAAGAACAGAAATGGCCGTCACCCCGCATAGATACAGTGGCGGGGTGGTGTCCCCTCCCAGCCATGCGACTTTGCCTTACTCTGTCGATACCCTCACATCAAGTTTGGAGGCTGCGGCGACAGGTCGATCGTTAACCTCCGCACTTATTTCCAACAATACATTAAAATATTTCTATAACTAGCTTCACTTCTTCATTATGCGATATCCAGTATCTCTTCTTGGACAAGACCTTTCTGGCATGCTCGAGACGCTTCGCCATTCATAAATCCTTCTATGTATGACTCCCCCACGAAAGTCCACTCTGATCCTCGGCGTCTGATGATGTATGGCACACCACCACCTAGGATAACCGCAACACAGTCACCCACTCGCGTATCGGACGGGCCGATGCCAATGTTCCCCGTCGAAGTTACTAAGAAGCATCTGTTGAAACAATAGGTACACGCCAAAACCGCGTACTTCTCGGGTTCTCCCCCAACGGACAGGCCCTGTAGGAGATTCAAAGCCTTCGCCTTGTCGTCTTTGGCTAATGGTAACGCCAACTGTGGCTCATCGACGGCTAGGAGACGAAGCAGATATGCCAGGCCGTCTTTGAAGCTCTGATCCCACACCTGTCCGATGAGGCCATGCTGTTCGGCGGTCGTGGCCTTGATGAAGCGAGCTACCCAGACAGTCGCATCTGCTCCCTTTAGGGTTGAAATCGATGCGTCCCATACAGCTATGATCCTCGACTCAATCAGCGCTCCAAACTCTTCCCTCGACATTTCGTTCTGGTTGAAAGGAAGGGCTTGAGTAACTTCTCCTAATTTGATGCCGCTCACTCGTATCACCGAGCTATTCTCGATACCATACAGCTTCAGCCCAGCGCCGGCGGACGCAGTATACTGTTGAGGAAATCCTAGATAAGCAGGTTCCTTGGAGTCCGAGTAGTGGATCCACGATAGGCTTGTTCGAATCTCCCTGTTGAACACCCGAAAGTCACTCCAGTCAGGAGTCCACGATGGCAAGCCTGTGAAGTCATGTAATCGCTGTCTCCTCGTCAGACTGCCGGGCGTCCCATGTGCACGGGTCAGAAGGGCGAGTGATCTACTGTTCTCTATCAGGAAGCGCGCAACTTTCCGGTAGGTTTGCGACACGTCAACGCTGTAGTCAGGGCGCAAGGCTTCAGGGGGCTCTGAAGAATCCTGGCATTCTGCTGCCAACCCCAGCAAGCCGTAAATCTTGTCTCTCTGATCCGTAGCATGAAATTTGATCTGCGTTATGGATATCAAGGCGCTCAAAGGCCACCTTGTCTGTGATTGTCGAAGACTGCACATCGTGAGTACGTTCCGCAATTTTTCCGGAACTTGTGGTAGCCTCATGTATCCGTTTTGTCGCAACCAGGCGACTGCCAATTCGAGGCGGTGCCATGGATAGAGATGTGGTCCGTGAATGATGACGGGAGCTTGCGGAGATAGAACCACTTCCTGAACGACCCAAATCCTGGAGAACCAGTTCAGCTCCATCAATTGCCTCATATGGTTCCAGAGCTGATGGTTCCACGGCGGAAGCCGAGAAGCAACGTGGGAAGACTCTGAATAAATCTTCACCGGAATGTCGCTGAAAGTTTTTGCGTCAGGATGCAGAGATTGAAGGACGCCGTAGATCTGATCTACCAGCCGCCACACGGCACAGCTTGACATGTGGTCCGGTCCAAGCCAGACTAACGTCCTGATGGACCGGGAGTAGATTGTTCTCATCAGGGTCACCTGTGACGATCGCTCTGTAATATCAGCTTGGTCGATACAAAGACGGTCGATCCACATGTACCTAATCGGAGGACTCAGGCTGCAATGCCCAGCACCAAGCTCTCGGAACCTTCTAATCCCAGCTGCCAAGTCTGGTGTTACATATAGCACATGGCCGTCAATTCGAATTGTTTCATTTTGGAGTTGCGTTCCCCAGGAATGACTAAGAGCATAGTAACGGGGTGCTGCCTCGAGAGATACTGCCTCGAGCGATCCTTCATCTGGTGCCGAAGTGTCGCAGTTAATGCGGAAAAGACGAATGTATCCTGGTAATAGCGGAGTGTACGGCAGACATTCCATGAGATCCCTATTTCCAACCTAACTTATCAATGCCAAATCAACGGATAAAGAGAGATTTGTTAATGTATGTGTGCAAGGTTGTGATAATAGTGGCCGTACTCTACCGAGTGTTGTTATGTTGCGAAAGATCGCGGACCGCTGATTTGAATGGGCATGTGGAAAGAAGAGAACCTTTTATTGGGGGCACGAGGCTTTGACGATGTTTCTCAATTGTCGCCCGGCCATCATTCTCTCACGACTGGTTTTGCCTGGTTGCAAGAGACTATGTACTGGCCAAAAGTGTACAAAATGCCAGAGCCTTTGTGAATCATCATCTGCAACTGGTTAGCCTTTACACGGCAAGTACAAATTGGCGAGGCAGAAATGGGGATGACGACTGATGCTGAGCAACTGACACCGAACCGCGATGAAAGGCGTGGTGGGATGACTAGAACATTCGGCGAATCGACCCTCACAACCAGTGCCCAAAAGTATCACACTGCAGGCAGCTGGCGATTCCAATGGCACTCTGCATGAGCTGCATCCAGTCATTTGTCAGGACTGCAGCAGATGACTGTCCATAATGTGAGGTGTCAGATTCTAGGAATCACTTGCGCGCAGACTGGATTGACGCGACCACTCTTGGTTTATCTTTCACAGCCTTGATCCCCTACTTCCCCGCCCTGTTTTCCGCTCACACAAAATCCTCCCTTTCTTTGGTCCTTCAGACTCAATGAAGTGTAATAATTCCTTGTGGAAACCACCATCTCCCTCGGCAAGTCACCAACCTCAAATAGCGAGATTACGACTGCAGTATTAGATCCAAATCCACCAAATCATGGTCAGGGACGGGCCTTCGGCGACAGAGTCGACGCCTGTCGCCAGCAGCTCAGACACTAAATCTCCACCCCGAACCCTCGGACTAGTTCAAGTATACCCGGATCCTGAACATATCACCGCGACGGATCAAAAGGTTGAGTAAGTTAGCCAAGTATTTCAAGATGTTCTACGCTGCTCATTACAGCAGCATCATAGCAATGCACGGACTGGACGCGAAATCGCCAGATACATGGATCGCGTGGAAGGAAGACGGCAATCCAGCTTCTGGTGATGTCCACTGGCTGAGAGATGACGATATGTTGCCTCGGTCTATGCCCAACTCGCGCATCTTGACATATGACTGGAACGCAAACTACGCCGCCGATGCTTCCAGTGATAAGTTTCTCGGCCATGCAGATGCGCTCCTTGATCGCATCTACGTAGATCGGGAGGACACGGTAAGGCCAGGTCCACAGTTACGAAGTTGCACCAAGTCTTACTATTTCATCAGGGCCGACTAGAGCATCCTATAATATTTGTTGCCTCCTGTTTCGGCGGGTTGCTCTTGGCTCAGGTTCGAGGTGGCTTTCTCTTTGCTTGATGTCTCTCCGACACATATTCCTTTAATCTTTACCCTTATTGCCCTTCTCCCTTGGATTTCTGACCTTAGAATTAACAGGATTGCACAACAGGCTCTTATTCGATCAGCTGATCAGTTTCACCCTCGTGGCAAAAATTACCGTCAAATCCTAGACTGCACAATTGGTGTAGTATTCCTCGGCACACCTTTCCGAGGTAGCTGGGAATTCGGGTACACGACTGCAGACGTGCGGGTCTCTGCTGCCATCGCAACAGAGACCGAATTTACCAGAGAATTAATAGAATATCTGAAACAGGGGACACCGGAATTGCCTGGTCCGCTAGACCAGCTTGTGCAAAGGTTCAGTGAGATGATCCATCACCGCGACTTCAATTTCGACAAAGTGTGCTTCTACGAAACTCGCCGCACGGATTTTTCAGCGAAAATAAAGAAAATGACATTGCCTGAAAGTTACACCAAGAATCTCGATACAAAAGGCCGTGGAATTGTACGTATGGACTTTCGTGACCTAATCTGTTCAATTGTTGTAGGCTTGCTCTGGTTAATGATAAGATGAACAGGTTGTCACCAAAGACTCTGCCTGCCTTCAAGGCGTAGAAGGGGTAGCTTTGGATGTCAGGCACAACATGCTGCACAAGTTCAATTCTCCTAAAAATGACGGCTACCGACGCTTGGTATCGAGACTCAAGGGGTTTTCTGAACGGCCCCCTAAGGTGAGGCTGTCCAAAGAAGAACAAAAGTGCCACCAGTTGTTCCGTCTCACAAGTGGCAGCCATGACGCCACGTACGAGTGGTATAAAGGCCGAGTGGAAGAGAAGGTTGAAGACACGTGCCTTTGGTTCCTCAACCATGAGCACTTCCAGGTTTGGTTGAAACAACAGTCCGGCCCCCTGCTAGTCACCGCGGATCCCGGCTGCGGAAAGTCGGTGTTGGCGAAATACCTGATCGACCACGTCCTCCTACGATCGGCACCGTCGACAGCCATCTGCTACTTCTTCTTCAAAGACCAAGACCAGAACACGGTGCGGCAAGCGCTTTGCGCACTGCTTCACCAGCTTTTCGACCACAAGCCGTCTTTGATCAAACATGCCATGTCACAGTATAGCAAGGATGGGCAAGGGTTGATCAACTCTACCGAATCGCTCTGGAAGGTTCTACGAAACGCTATAGAAGATCCCCAGACAGGACCTGTAATCATTGTCCTTGATGCCCTGGACGAATGTTCAGAAGCAGAGTTTCCGGTCCTTATGCGGAATGTGGAGCGCCACTTTCGCAACGACAAGTCGGGCCCTCGCAAGTTGAAGTATCTTCTAACGTGCCGCCCATATGAGCAGATTGTGTCCAAGTTCCGAGGCCTGCTAAAGGCTTTTCCAAATATCCATATACCAGGAGAGGAAGAGTCGGAAACCATTAGTCAGGAGGTGAATCGCGTCATTACGCACCGGGCTAATCAGCTATCGACGAAGAAGGGCCTCTCAGACCAAATCAAGTGTCACTTGGAGGCAAAGCTACGAGAGAAAACCCATCGCACTTATCTTTGGGTATATCTTATGTTCGATTACCTAGAGAAAGAAGACTTCAAAAAGACAAAGAAGGGGGTAGATGAGTCAACGATTGCAACACTTCCGGGGAGTGTCAATCAGGCATATGAGCAAATTCTTAACAAGTCTAAGGATCACCCGATGGTTCGGAAAGTCCTGAGTATTATCCTGGTCGCGAGTCGGCCGCTGACAATATCGGAAATGAACGTTGCTGTGAATGTAGACGACAATTCACATTCCATTCGTGACCTCGACCTCGAGAATGAAGATGATTTCAAATTGCGTCTCAGGTCTTTATGCGGATTATTCGTCTCAATTCATCATGGCAAGATTTATTTCCTTCATCAAACCGCCCGTGAGTTTCTCCTTGCAGATTTAGCATCGCCTACAACCGTTCCATCAGGGCTACACTGGCATCATTCCATCACTACTCGCCATGCACATGCTGTTCTTGCGGGGCTCTGCGTGCGCTATCTGAACTTCTTTAACTCCGACGTTACCCCTCCAACAGATGCAATTACGAAGGCCGATCCCTCCGACGATACTCACGCCTTCTTAGATTACTCGGCCAAAAGCTGGGGCGCTCACTTCCGCGAGGCCGAGATCATTGGTGACGCTTCAATTGTCCCTTTCGCTTTGAGAATATGTGATCCGGGTTCGAAGAGTTACTCAACTTGGTTTTCAATTTATTGGGAGACCACACATATGGAGAATACAGAGTTTACGGATCTTATTGTAGCCTCATATTTTGGGCATAATGCCACCACCAAGCTATTGCTAGACAAGGGCGCCGAGGTTAACTTAAAGGACAGTAAGTATGATCGGACGCCGCTCTCGTGGGCTGCTATCAATGGTCGTGAAGCCATTGTCAAGCTATTACTAGACAAGGGCGCCGAGGTCGACTCGAAGGACAGCAAGTATGGTCAGACACCGCTCTCATGGGCTGCCGAGAATGGCTATGAAGCTATTATTAAGCTATTATTAGATAAGGGCGCTGAGGTTGACTCGAAGGACAGCAAGTTTAATCGGACGCCACTCTCGTGGGCTGCTATGAACGGTCGTGAAGCTATTGTTAAGCTATTACTATATAAGGGCGCCGAGGTTGACTCGAAAGACAGCAAATATAATCGGACGCCGCTCTTGTGGGCTACTATCAATGGTCGTGAAGCCATTGTCAAGCTATTACTAGACAAGGGCGCCGAGGTTAACTTAAAGGACAGTAAGTATGATCGGACGCCGCTCTCGTGGGCTGCTATCAATGGTCGTGAAGCCATTGTCAAGCTATTACTAGATAAGGGCGCCGAGGTTAACTGGTGGGACAGCGAATATGGTTGGACGCCGCTCTGGTGGGCCGCCAGGAATAGTCATGAAGCTGTTGTCAAACTACTACTAGATAAGGGCGCTGAGGTTAACTTAAAGGACAGTAAGTATGGCCGGACGCCGCTCTCGTGGGCTGCCCAGAATAGCCATGAAGCTATCGTCAAGCTATTACTAGATAAGGGCGCTGAGTTCGACTCGAAGGACAGCACTTTTGATCAGACGCCGCTCTGGTACGCCGTCAGGAATAATCATAAAGCTATCGTCAAGCTATTATTAGACAAGGGCGTCGAGGTTAACTCGAAGGACAGCGAGTATGGTTGGACGCCGCTCTGGTGGGCCGCCAGGAATAATTATGAAGCTATTATTAAGCTATTATTAGATAAGGGCGCCGAGGTTAACATGAAGGACAGCAAGTATAATCGGACGCCGCTCTTGTGGGCTGTTATAAATGATTGTGAAGCCATTGTCAAGCTATTACTAGATAAGGGCGCCGAGGTTAACTGGAGGGACAGCGAATATGGTTGGACGCCGCTCTGGTGGGCTGCTAGGAATGGTCATGAAGCCATTATCAAGCTATTACTAGACCACGGCGCCTAGGTCGACTCGATGAGTAGTCCTAGTCAGACGCCCTCATGATGAGCTACGGAGATTCGGCATGATCAAGTTGATCGATTGCTTCAAGCCATAGGGGCAGCCGGATTCAGGATACCGCGAATAAACAACGCACACCTTGTGATTGAGCTAATTAACGCTTGCGCGTCGAGGCCGTCGCTGTGTTCGAGCGCTTGAAAAAGTTACGCTCCTATTGTTCCCATTACCTTCCTTGGAGATAATTATGTCGGAGTATTGGGCTACGCTTGAGACAGACAATCCGTCTCATGAACTGTCCACATGCAATATAGCTTGTTTCATGTTGTGCCACTGGTATACGTGCAACCGCCAGAAAGTACATTGTTGTTATGATGTTACTTCTAAAGACATCACGGTTCTAGATTTGCAAGGCGCCTAGGACAAGAACTACTCAATTGAGGCAGACATGCCTCTCTGGGCCGTAGAGGACGCTTGCTTGTAAATTTCCGAGATAGCACGCATATGGGGAATTGTTGGGTCTAGGTACCAAGAACGTGTCCACGATATACTTAGCTTGGACCGTTCCAGCAACCGCAGGGGAAACCGTCCGAGAGGACAAGGTCAAAAACCAGACCGACTCACATGCAATGGCGCAGGCAGTAGGGGAGTATGCCGAACGGTAAAGCGATAGGTGGGCCATCTTCAAGCCTTTTTGTTTTGAGACACGGAAGAACACCCCTCGCACTTTATCACGATTCAACTAGACCAGGCAAAAGGGAAATGCCACACTTCCACTAGTGCCTTCTATAATTAACCTTATATACCTCTTAGTTGTAGTATGCCTTCTATTTTACCCGTTGACACACTTATCTTTGCTTGTACCTTGTGTTCGATTACCTAGAGAAACAAGACTTCAAAAAGACAAAGAAGGGGGTAGATGAGTCGACCATTGAAACACAGGATTTCAAAACTCCGTCGTGGTCGTCTGTGTAATTTTTGAACTCTTTCTTCTAGACATGACTGCCCAAGCCAGCTGGACAACTATCGTCAGCACTACCGTGATTACGACATACATCCAGGCCCATGCGGACACCCGTGGTTTCTCCGAGTCTAAGAAATTGAAAAAGGTCATCGAAAAGAATGACTTTAGTCATTGTCAGTAAACACGTTCGTATTTTAAAATTTTTGGCTTGGTAACTTACAGCTGTAAAGGTGGCAGGAAGGAATAGCATCGTGACCGCAGCAATCACCTGCATTGCTGCGCTGTCTTGTGCAGCTGCGAGCGCCACTGCCCGAGAGTCTCTTGCTATTTGGATCATCAGCTCGTTGTCTTGCCGACCGAGCTCTGCAAGTGACCTCATGGCCCCGTTCTCCTTATGGCTTTGCTCAGCGATTTCGCGAGACGACTGAGCAATTTCTATATTTGTTGAGCTATCCTGGGACGCAATGAGGCAATAGACCTGCACTAATTAGCTTGCGGCTCTCTGAGTGGGCCATGTTTCATACAGTTTGGCTTTGCGCTGTAGCTCGCTCTGACAAATAGCCGCAATTCGCTGCGACCCCTAGAAACCAATTATCTATATGCTGGAGTTTGTAAACAAGTTCTTGTTGGCCGTTATCCACAACCAATAAGTTAGTACTTCGAATCATCTGCTGCACAAGATGCCTTCCAGTCTCTGCCTGCATCTTGATGAAGGCAAACCGAGCGAGAAAGCTGCTAAGTTCACGAGTAATTGAGATCAAATCCAGACTCTTCCAATCTAAAGCGTTGTCACCCCTTTTCTCATGCGGATAGTTGAACTGTCTCATCCCAGTCGTGGTCTCAATAGTATGGATGTGCCTCCTACAATTTTTAATGGTCATGCTGAGGCTATGAGCTTGCAGCTCCATGGCTATGGTGGGAATCAGCATTGGCCCCTGTATTCGGGGTAGCATTGACTCGACATATTCGAACAGATCTAGCAGTGTCGATGATTCCACTCCAAGTATCAGGACACGAGTTTTGAGGGTCTTAACATTGTGATTCATCGCTATCGAGAATGCAGAGTATGCCCCGTTCTGCTGAATAACGTATTCTGGATTGTTATTAAGTAGCTTTCTTGACGCAGGAAATGTAATAGTTTACGAACGTATACTTTCGCATGTTGAAACATCCTCTGTCCTGCTGGCCGGAACTGTGTCGGCATAAATTGCCAGACCGGCATTCAGGGCAGTTAAGAATGATGCGGGCAGGTCAAAGACTTGCATCGTATGCTGAAACAATGTTCTGGAGACTGGGAGAGGTAGTTTTCCATTACGTTCGTTCGTGCGATTCGTGAATGCCCTATCGTTTTATTACCCATGTTCCACTAAGATTCATAGACCAGTACAAATACCTACAATATACACATATTTGACTGTATATTAGTACAGGAAACAATTAGTGGAAGATTTTTATAATGTTGACTGAGCAGAGAGTGTGCCTTATCGATATCGCCAAGAAAGCTATACACGTCTTTTTCGGAGTCAAACGTGAATCTCTTCGGTGGGGAAGGAACTGAGCTCGTCGGGTTTGGAGGGCCAACTGTTGCACGCTGGCGGAAAATAGCATGATTAGATCAGCGAGCTATTTCCTGGGGTGAGTTTGCTACTATCTGCGAACCTGAATGGTTGAAGAAAAGGCCAGGCATTGGTTAAACTCGCCAAAGAGCTCTGGTTCCTCACTCAGAGAGGAAGAAAGCCATTCACACCCCGACATCGCGGAAGATGTGACGTGGTGTCACCCGAAGAGAAACGACGTGGAGGTAAGGGCTCAGTCCCGGTAGACAAACAAAGTTAGAGCCAGAGCAAAACTTTACTAAATATTCAGCAGCTTAAAAATGCATTCGAATAAAAGCTGGTGTATTTGAAGGTTTTAGGTTTCAGTTGGGCATCAGAGCTGGCAGGTCGTGTCAGGCAGCGAATGCGTGTGGCTATGTCGATTGAGAAGCGGGGTCGACAAAGTGAGGCTGCGTCGCAGCTCTTATTACCACTCAATGGCCTTGTTCCTGTATTTTTCTTGCACATTCAGAAATTCGCCTTCAGATTTACCGCTCCCTGAAAATCTGCATTTACACAGTGACGAGGACCACTCCACGTAGACGAAACAAAATGGACAGCGGTGGTCAATCCACAGCTTCGGCTCCTGGGATCAGGGTCTTGGTTGAGCCTGCAGAACAAGATCTAGGTAGTCCTAACAAGAATGATGACGGAATTGAGTATGTGCTCTCATCCTGGACTAGTCATACATTGTTGACGCTTTGCAGTATCGTCGCAATTCACGGAATTGGAGCCGACCCGGACAAAACTTGGACTGGGCGGGGGCCAGCCGGGGAACGAGTCAGTTGGCTCTCGGATTCTGAAATGCTCCCTAAGGCGGTACCTACTGCCCGGATTATGCGTTTTGGATATGAATCCGCCTGGTACGGTACTGGACTGGACGAGCCCAAGAAAACACACGTGTTTGACGTAGCTGAAATGTTGCTCAAACAGCTGGAACTCCATCGCCAGGTGAGCCAGAAATCTATGACCGCCTGCCCATTGCGCTAAGGAGTAAATAGGGTATTACTCGGCCGATAATATTTATCGCACATAGTTACGGTGGCCTTGTGCTTATGCAGGCTCTTAGACGCTCTTTCGACAATCCTGATAAGTGGAGGCACCTATTCCGGTTTACGGCTGGTGCCATATTTTTTGGAACACCATTTCGAGGACGGAGAGGCCTTACGCTAGTGCAAATTGTTGAGGCAGTTGCACAACATAATCCGGACCTTCAAATCTATCCAGAAACGATGGCGCTGTCTGTTGAAGAGAATCCCTATCTTCAGAATATAGTCTATCAGTTTACAGAAACACGTCGCGGCGATCATCCGATACCACTTTGGTGTTTCTACGAGACTAAGCCAAGTCCGATAGGCAAGACACTGCTAAATAGTGCTATAAAAGATGTAAGTCAATTGTCGTAGCTGTTTGGCAGCGGGCATATTAATCGTATTGCAGGGGTACCTCATACCAGCGGAATCAGCATGCTTAGATCCATCCAAGAGCATAGAACGGCATCCTCTGGAACGTCATCATTATAATCTACAGAAATTCTCCGGCCCCTCAGATCCAGGGTATCTAGTTGCCATGAAAGCAATCGTGGACCTAGCTACAAGAGCACCTAACTACCTTCGAGAATGTTGTATTGGTAAGTCGATTTTGCTGCCACACTATGCTGATAAGCGTGCGGGCTGAACGAGTTCTACATCCAGATACGACGCGTGCTAGAGTGTGGTATGGCACCATTAGCTCAGGAAAATTCACTAACTCAATATAAGATAGGACGCAGAAATCTTGCTATCATATTGAACTTGCCAAGAACAATCAATTTACCGGTCGCAACTCTATATTAAAGGCGATTGAGCAGAAGTTCTTCGGCAAGGACCAAAGCCAAAGGATTGCGCTTGCAGGACTCGGCGGAGTAGGCAAAACTCAAATAGCTTTGCATTTTGTCTATCAATTAAAGGAAAAGCGACCGGATTATTCGATCTTTTGGGTGCCACTTCTGGGTCATGAGAGCGTGGAGCGGGCTTACAGAGAAATTGCCAAAAAGCTTCGTTTGCAGAAGAGCAGTGACAACGAGGATATTAAAGACCTGGTTTACCAATATCTCAGCTTGTGCAAAGCTGATAAATGGCTCTTCATTTTGGACAACGCTGACGATCAAGAGCTTATGTTCGGATCCGCCCACAAGCCAGGCTTAGAAGAGTATTTGCCTAAGAATGAAAACGGCATAATCTTATTGACGACCCGATCTAGGCAAGTCGCGGTCGAGTTCGCACGAGCTGATGTGATCGACATCGAACAAATGAATCAAGAAGAAGCGGCGAATCTCTTTAAGAAATCTTTAGTTCAAGATCAGCTGCCTCTGGACGAAGCACTTGTCACCGAGCTGCTAACCTATCTAACATTTCTCCCGTTGGCTATCACGCAGGCTGCAGCATATCTAAACGTGACCATGGCGCCTATTCAAACTTATTTGGGGCTCTTGCGAGGTGCTGAGAAGGACGTTACCAGATTGTTGGGTAGAGAATTCAAAGACAGCACCCGGTACAGGGGTTCCCGAAACGCCGTAGGAACAACATGGCTAGTGACATTCGACCAAATCGAAAAGTCAGACCAGGCCGCGGTCAGACTGTTGTCATTTATATCATGCATTGAGCCGAAATCCATTCCACGATCGATGTTGCTCAATATGGAACCTGAGGAGATGGAGTGGGCGGTTGGCATGCTTTGCAGCTACTCGTTTCTGGTTCGTCGGGGAGATAGTAGCATGTTTGACATGCACAGTCTTGTACACATGGCGACGCGAGAATGGGTCAAGAGGCAGGGCCGGAGGGAGCAGGTGGTGAACGACGCGATATGTCATCTTGCAAGGATCTTCCCTACAAACAACCGTGCTGACCATGAGTTGAGGAGAGAGTACTTACCACATGTGACGCGGTCTCTTTATCAAAATGATGGGCAAAGGACAGATGATGCCTACTATCTGTTTGGGAAAGTTGGAGATTGCTTCTACAACGACAGACGATTTAAAGAAGCGACGAAGTGTTACGAGGCCGTGTGTCGGTGGAAACAAGACCATCTTTCCAAAGACGACCATAATCGACTAGTATCAGAGCACAAGCTTGCAAGCGCATACCTCAGTGACCGACGCATTAAGGATGCGATTGAGATATTCGAGCATGTGGTGGTAGTTCAAAAGGAGACATTGGATGAGAAGGACCATTTTCGACTAGTATTAGAGCATGAACTTGCAAGGGCATACCTCGATGACCGACGCATTAAGGATGCGATTGAGATATTCGAGCGTGTGGTAGCAGTTCGAAAGGAGACGCGGGATGAGAAGGACCATTCTCGACTAGCATCAGAGAACGCCCTTGCGTGCGCTTCCCTTAATGACGGACGCATTAAGGATGCGATTGAGATATTCGAGCGTGTGGTGGCAGTTAAGAAGGAGACGTTAGATGAGAAGGACCATGATCGACTAGCATCAGAGCATGAACTTGCAAGGGCATACCTTAATGACCGACGCGTTAAGGATGCGATTGAGATATTCGAGCATGTGGTGGCAGTTGAGAAGGAGACGTTAGATGAGAAGGACCATGATCGACTATCATTAGAGCATGAACTTGCAAGGGCATACCTCAATAACCGACGCGTTAAGGATGTGATTGAGATATTCGAGCATGTGGTGGCAGTTGAGAAGGAGACGTTAGATGAGAAGGACCATGATCGACTATCATTAGAGCATGAACTTGCAAGGGCATACCTCGATGACCGACGCATTAAGGATGCGATTGAGATATTCGAGCATGTGGTGGCAGTTGAGAAGGAGACGTTAGATGAGAAGGACCATTCTCGACTAGCATCAGAGAACGCCCTTGCGTGCGCTTCCCTTAATGACGGACGCATGACGCATTAAGGATGCGATTGAGATATTCGAGCGTGTGGTGGCAGTTCGGAAGGAGACATTGGATAAGAAGGACTATGATCGACTAACGTCAGAGCAT